TCACGCGAGTTCGTAGCCAGGAACGGCTGTCGGGGGGCTCTGCATGCATGAATCATGGGATACGCGAGGAAATACTAAGCCAGCCAGGGCCTCGGCGATGGAGATAGGCAAGGGTGACTGCTCTTCAGAGGCCTGCTGCTTTAGAAACCCTCCTTATATCAGAAGGAAACGTCTTTTGACAGAGAACGTTATGGAATGGCCACGTCAAATTGATTCTAGAACTATCCCGATGGTTCGATAGGTGGCATCTGCCAATGGAACTTAATCTTTGATGGAGAAAAGATGTGAGAGAAGTAAAATATATTGGAAGGCATATGGGGCACTAGGACTTTTGAGGAAAAGCGAGGTAGGTATACTTGAAGCTGTTATTTACTTTGCTTCTAATCAATATTAGCACTCTTTCCTATGCAACAACCTAGCACGCCGTAAATCTCCAGCAGAGTTTATTAGAGAAAATGACGAACAGATCAAATTAATTTCGATTCGTTTTTATTTCGACGAGTACTTGCCATCGGGCTCTTCTCGAGGCACGAGTTTATGAATTCCGCTCGTCTAGAATTCTTTATCGTTAGCACTGAAGGAGTTATTGAATTCTGCTTTCAACGCCACTTGGCCTCAAAATTGTCTATTCGGCATACGATTGTCCACAGATAGGAAGGATGATAATCAGATAGCAAGTTGTTTGAGGACCGCCAAGGATGGGAAGGAACTTCTCTATCTTTACTTTGAAGAGAAACTAGTTACAAAGAAAGTGTCACTGGAGATTGCTACGCCCTGCTACTTTTCGGTTTGGACTCATTTAATTTAAGAATCTTCAAGCTCAAAGGAAGTGTTAAGCTTGAATCTGATACGATGCCACACGTGACCAGGTCGTCATCGTTCACGCGTGATTACTTAGGGCATACTTAGGACTTGAAAAGGAACCTTTTAAAATTAGATAGTTGAGGATCCCTAAAATCAAAGGTCAACTAATCATCATTTTCGATAAATGATAGTCCATCACCTAAGCAAAACTTTTACGCAATATTCAGCCACGTCGTGTCACAGTCATCCAAATGCACTCTAAATCCAACGAAATTCAGTCCCAAGGTGATTAAGATAGGTGGTCCTCGTTTCTCCAACGCCCGCTTGAGGGTGAAGAACAGTATCGCGTAGACAGCAATTGCGACAGTTTCGCCTTCACAGTTGACTCCCGCTCGAAACCGCAATGTAATTTCCCGTTGAACCTTCCCCATCGGTCTTCGCGGTTGCGTTCAAGGTCGATCCGTGGTGCCGTATCTTCGTTGGCCAAGCGCTGAAACACGTTCCCTGGTGAAAATTTACAGAATCGTGTCGCTCGCCACGTTCGTTTCCATCGTTTCCAAGCGTTTATGCGGACAATTCGACGGCTTCCGCGGCAGCTCGAGTGTCCGGTCAACAGATCCACCCTGCACCGACATTGCTAACTCCATTGTTCCCGAAGTTCGACGCGCAGTGTTCCAGCGGCAGGGCTGTTGGTCAAGGACGCGCATAAATCCGTTCGCGCCACCACACAGGATTGCGCCAGTAAACTAAATTTTCGGACCCGTCAGGGCGTTCAGGGACCGCCGGAGGATCGTGTATATAGGAGCCTGAAGCGAATTGAGTACTGTAGCGACAACTGGAGGGACATCTAGGGAAAAGTGTCGATGCCGGAACTGAGCGTTCGAGAAGAACTCAGTTGGGTGTCCTGTAGCTGGTGTATTAAACTCCGGTTGTGAGAGATAACCTAAGAGAAAGCCTCATTATGACAGCTAGAGACTATTGTCGATGTGGATAAATGTTGGCGTCCCTTAACACGTTGATCGTCATGTCACCCATATATGGGTGGTAATGTTTTTCACTCAAGAACTAAAAAGATTAATTCCAAAAGTTAGACATCGAAGGAGATGAATTTAAATGAAATCCATGAATTTTAATGCAGTTACGAAAATAAATACCACGATAAATGTTTGATTACGTAGACTGCAATAATCTGAATGATATTTAACCTCAGCAGAAATTTTCAAAAATATTCGTTTGGCAGTCAACGTGTTAATGAAGTATCGTTGAGCAAGGGAACGATGTAGCGACAACTAGAGTGACTCGTAGAGGAAAGTGGCACCCCAGTGTCTTCGATAAGCCCCCAATTAGATACCCTTCGATGCTTGTATTAAACTCCAATTGAACTGGGATCCAAGTACCCACCCCCGACGACTTGTCTAACGAAAGGCTACTTATCACGATCATCGGGGGAAGGATAACTTTGTTCAGTGATCCCGGGACCTAAGAGGCCATTAATGGCCAAGGTACTCTACGTGTCTTCGATAAGCAGTAGCTTCCAGGTAATCCACTAAAGGCACCGAGCGCACCCTCCCTCGATTTACTTCCAGCTCGCTATTACAAAGAGTTATCGTTACGTAACGTCGCGATTAGGTTATACCAGGCCAACGACCCGTGCAGAGGCTACCCCTTTCGTTGGGATCCCCTTTGAAACACTGGCCCGTTATCAGTGGCGTGTTTGCGTCTTATATCGAGCGGCCAAGGAGACCTCCTCGCCGGTATCGAAAGATCGATGGCATTTCCGTTTTGTGCATCCCTCGGGACCACATAGCTCTTTCCACCACCACAACCACCGCCCAGGCGCGTCGTGTTCGAAGAGACTCCGTGCCTCGAAGAGGGTAGAGGCCAGTGGGACACACACCACACCTGTACAGCACCGGTATTCGGGTCATGCATCTCGGCCACTTAGACTAGGTCACTACTTCCCTCGTTCGTTCCGATTCATCCCTCCTCCCCCAGGTTGCTCCTTCTCCCCTCCTCAAGGCTCTGTTTTCCTCGTTTCTGTCTTTCCCTTGATATTATTTTATTCCATCCCCTTTCTTTCCCGGCCCGTGTCTCTCCCGATACGAAGAGCGCCCGCTGAGACACGCGATCCTCATCGATTTCGGGACGTCTCGAACTCGGCGGCTCATGCGTGCGCTTAGGGGACCAATCGACAGCCTCCCCATCACGATCCCACAAGATCCCTACCAGCGACTATACTTCCTTCGGGAATCCTCCTGTTATCTACGGATCGTATCTTTGTTCACGCGGATTTGCGCACGAATCGATTAACTGGATCAGTCGTCCAGGTGCATGAGCAGCAATCGCCACTCTGTCGTCTCGCAACCATGTTCGATTGAAAAAGCTGGAGCGCTTCTCAGGCTATCGCAACGCTCCGAAGACTGTTGCCAGGATTTATCATTCAGCAGTTCGTAAATATCGCAGCATTGTCTTTAACGGTGGAGGAAGATTAGCGCGTGAGCGGCTTACATTTACCAGCTGAAGTCGCCCCGCTGTTGCATAAATTAGGATTCCCAAGAATACTCGAACGGGAAGGAAGGACTGACCCAATTAATAAATTCGCCGTCTCCGCTGTATAAATACGGCGTGGTGTACGAATCCTACGGAACAATGGCGTAACCTCGCCAGGATTGCGAAAGAAGGTTACAGGATGGTGGAGGAACGATGCAACTGGAAGACTGGGCCTGCTGTCGAATACAGCGTAGTGTCAGAGTTCTTCCGAACAATATCATAGACGACGAAGCAAACATGGTGGGAATAGTACTCGAATCATACACATGGATGACTTAACAAATTGATAAAAAATTCGAGAACAGGACTATCACAGGCCTCTACTTCTCGGTAGAGAAAACTGTTTTCTCAGAAGGAATGCTAATGCTTCTACCATATAGCTGCACCTGGAAAGCTAAGCCAACCAATAAACCCAGCGTGCTATGCGAATATAGCGACAGGAATCCTCCTGAACAGTGGGACAATCTCATCAGGCATATGGGACAAGGTTACAGGGCGATATGGTGGGAGTAGTAGTCGATGCACCTGGATGACTGACCCAATTAACGAACTCACTCTCTCTGCTATCCGACTACAGTGGACGAATCCTCAGGAACGATGGTGCAACCTCATCAGGCCTAAAAGTCAAGGTTACAGGACGTATCACGAGTAATAGCCCCATGCACATGGATGACTGCTCCAATTAATGACCTCACCATCTTTGATACTTAACTACACCTTACATACCTTACCTACGTAAGTATTCCTTCCTCAAGAGCAATGGATCGCAAACCTTCACCAGCCAAACGAAAGTTTAAGTAATGAAAATGGCGTAGGGGCGATGAAGAGTGTTTTCGCAGGGGCAACGCGACCGCTTCCGGTGTATCGATGCACCTGGCTAGGTAGAGAAGGGGAGGGTTTGCACGCCGGAGCCGCGAGACCTTGAAGGTACTCGAAACCGGGGCAGTGTCCCGAAGAGAGATCCGCGCAGTCGCAGAGCGTCGACCGTCTACACCGAGCGGCACAGCCAGGTTGGCCTAGATCGGGGCTGCTCCACCACTAAACTCGGCGTTCACACCCGGTGAATCTAGAACAGAAGCCGACTGGTTCGATTCCCCCAAGGGGTCCCTCGTCCGTTGCTCGCCGCGACGTTTTATATAAATCTCCATTAAAGATGATGACGAATGTCTCTGTCCTGCCGCTCCTCCGTTCGCGAGTTATTTACACGTTCTTGGGTCACCTGTCTTCAACATAACTTGATATTCCTACTTACCTTGGCCATCTAAGCTACTCGAAATGGTACTTATTTTCATCAGGTAAATGTAGATTTGAAGATTCCGTATTAGGTTCTAATGTTTATTTCATTTAACGTGGGATGTCATATGGTCCCGTTGTAAAGGGTAGATGTTTCAATTAAAGTTACGAACAAAATTAATTAAAGTTACATTAAGTAAAGTTACCATAGATTTCAACCCTTTGAGTGCCAAAGAGTGATATACTGTTAATCATTAAAAAATCAATTTTGCTTTACGAAAATAACGTCTATATCTAATGCATATAGATTTATTTATGCACTTCAATTTTATTTCAAGTACCATAATGCCAGTTCAATTTTATTTCAAGTACCATAATCTTTTAATAATAAAGGAAGTCTAACATGTTTTTAGTATCGTGTAAAAATTTCATGAACTTTAAAATAAAATTGACCGAAATACACGTTTTTGTTTACAATCATGCATCTTTGCTTAAAATTGCCTGGTATTTCTCGGATATGTACGAAAATTTCCTCTGGCACTCGAAGGGTTAAGCGAGGAGTTTGTTAAACCCAGCCAGACTAAAAATAATTTCACTAATAACGAATCTTCCATAGCTAACAAAATTCTTCCAACAAAGTTCCAACCTACCAAAGTATAAGTACATACACGCACAAAGATTAAGATCGTAGTATCCTTAAATAAAATATCTCAGTCAGCCTTTTCAGGATTCTAGTCGTACCTTTTAAATTCGAAAAGACCTACTCGACTACCATGCTGCACTCGTTTGGGAAGAGTTCCCTTTGAAACATGCATTGGCCCGTGAGAGGTACAAGAAATATGTCCACTGTCTCGCGATACGTTTCTTCTTTACCTTGGTATTCGCCATTCGAGGATCTCGTGGTCGTTCACCATCCTGGTGTAACAGGAAGTCTCGTCTTTTACGTATAGATCCATCGACCGTAAAGTGCAGCGGGGAGGCGTGTTTGTATCCTGCAGCGGCAGATGGTATACAGTCACGTATCAGAAACCGAAGTGATAAACGACGCTCGCGAGCCCTGCGAAACTTCTCCATGTACCTACATTCAAGGACGCGATACGTCGTTCGCTATTGTGGGGAACTTGTCCATGTCCGGTCGATAACTATTATCAGCGTTTCTTCGCTCGGCCGAGGAAGTGCACCGCGAGTTTTGGGACTTCGATAAATCTCGGCGTTTCGTCAACTTCCTGCTCTTCGAGATTTAATATTTCCTTTTTCTTCGTTTATCCATTGTCCGGGAATGATATTTTTAGTAAATTGTAAGCTACTTGGAGGCGAAGGTTAACGCGCGGGTTCCCTTTCAATTATTTCGTCTTCTTTACCCCCGCGGGACTTCATTTATTCGACAAAGCAGAAATTATCGCGACACGTTCCATTTTAAAAATCCGGCATTCTCCTCGCGCTATCTATGCGCGATACTCACTTTTGTCCAAAGGATTTTATAACAAAGGAAGTGGTTCAACGTCGTTTTTCACCGTTAACCGGTACATCTCATACCTTCTTCGCGTTCTTTTATTTCCTCGAATGTCCGCGCGGATCTCTGAGACACGATCTGAGACCAAAAAAGAAATTAAGAATTTCACCTACCTGAGCCGCGGGGCGATTTATTTCTATGCAGTGGATGCACAAAAGGTATTGTTCTCCCACACTAATCCATCAACCACTGTCAAAACTGCATTCTATTACAACTGTCCGTGGGCGCAAAGCGTACGTAAACAGCTTTTGTCTCCTCGCTTCGTTGAGCGCAAACTTTTGTCTCCGTTCGATAACACTTATTGTACTTTATACGGTCCTTTCATCTCGTGTTCGCGATCGCATTCAAAATATAAGAGATGTTTGAGGAACTATTATGGAAATAAAAAGTTTTCGGGACGTTTTAAAAAACATTACGCGGAGGAAAGATAAACTTTGAATACTTTTAACAGGATGTGAAACGAAGCGAAATTAAAGAGACACGTACCATATGTAAGCTATTACGCAATACAAATTGTTTAGGATATTTTAAGAAACATTTCTAAAATATTTCTGTTATTTAAAAAAATGTTAGATATTCAACAAAAAAATAGTCGATTACTTACTTCATCTAAGAAACTCAACACGAAAAACTTTTCTAAAAGGATTCGATTTCTCTCCATAAATTCTTCTATATTTTATATTTGGAAGTATTCGAAATTCAAACGTTGAATAGAGTCCTGTGAATATTTATGGTACCAAGGTACATTCCCTACAGTATTCTGCTCATAGTTCTATTTCATGAATGTTTGTCACCCTACAATTGACAGAGAATTTACTACTATAGATTCTACATTTTTAAAAAAGTGTAAAAGCGTGCCATTAGAACACTCCCTAATAGCTTCGATTAAAAATAACCTCAACGATGTGTGGTTATTCGAAGTCCTCGAAGTACCGTGTAACTTCGACTTTAATCGAACATAACTGTCCAGCCATGAAACATAATTCGTACGTTTCCTTCAACAAAAATGATTGAAATTCTACCTAAAACTCGATAATCTCTGATCATTAAACGCTGCCAAATAGTGCTCCAATTGGTTGCCAGATTTCACGGATCTCGCGTGGATAGAAAAAAAAAAGGTGTTTTGGAGTTTTATGGGCAGTAAAATTGACGCACAGTGGGAGAGGCAATCGTGACGGTAGAACAGATTCAGCGGGTCGTAATTCATCGAAACGAGTCCCCATAGTAAAGGCGATAAATCTGTCTGTAGGGGTAGCGTCCGAATCTCCTACGAACCGTAATGAAGCTTTCGCCATTTTAACCACTCGCCCAGTCGTCTTCCTCTCGTCGAAGAGGCCGCTGCTGGTTCTTATACACGGCCAGGAGCCAGAAGATATTCGAGTTAAGCTAAATACTCCTGGGAGGAGCTCTCCGAACTTATGAAAAATTTATAGCTCGCTTTTAATAACAAGGATCTCACTGGGGGCGCCTCTACTCTGATTTCCACGAATCTTTTATGGGTTATCACGTGAAAATTAATTTACCGGGATAAATACTAACTGATGCGAGTTTATTTGTGGTTTGAAACAATTCAGTGAATGGAGGGTTTTCGAAATAAATTTCAAGAATGTATTTATGGAGTTGTTTTGAGATCATATATTTTTCTAATTAAATAAAATTAGAACGATAAAATAATTGTAGCATTCGAAGACAATCAAGAATAAGATGAATCATAGGACAGAAGTAGAATATATTTGTTCTGAACGTATGGTCTGTCTAGTTTCAGCTAGTGTCTGACGTCAAAATGATGGAAATATTATTAGAAGAGTTGTGTAAATGACCTTCGATCAAGTTGGAACAGTTTCAAGTATCTGCATTGAAGATATTCTTGAATACAGAAGTCGAAGATTTGAAAATTTCTATTACTGTTTAATTGTACCAAGTTTCATATGTAAAAGTATCATTTGTAAATAAACAAGAATTTTTCACCAGTCAGCAATGGTTGAAGTAGGCCTTTCTAAATTTTCAATAGATACCGATCCAACTAAAATTTTAATTCAGTCTCCGTGCTATAATATAAATTTAAACTTGAAGATGGGACGGAATAGCTCGATTGCCTTCGCAAAAGTCAAATGGACTCCGATTCGAGAAGTGTAAACAGTTCTAACGGCTTAGCTTGCAAGTTATCCGTAATAAAGTTATCGAAACTTTCGTTTTGAAAGTTTCTGCGCGGCGACAAGTTTATCTGGAAACAAAAAGTTTCTACGCAAGTGCCACTGTTCGCGGAGTTATGAAACTTCCCCGTCGGGTAAAGGAATTACTATCATTTTGATCGCGAATAGAGAAAGCACAGTTTAACCCTTTATAACGCAAGTTTCTAGCGACGGTGAAATCAATTTCTTAGTAAAGAAACATACTTTTATTCTAAATCACCATTTTATGTTACGTGTGTATTCTAACGTCTATTTTTTCATTTTTTAACCTACCTCGTTTCGATTCAGTTGCACAAATCGGTACAGTGTGTCGACAGTTATTTTGGCACCAATTGGTGGTAATTTTCGCGTGTACCGAACGGAGTGGAGGGGCGAGGGAAACGGAACAAAACAAGAACCAGTCCATTATCACACAAGTTGGTTGTCTAACTACTGCTGATGGATTGGATACGATACACGTCAGTGGTGTTCGAGCAATTGGAGATTTTGATGGCTTCTCAAGGATAATGCAATTTGTACTCATGGTGAAGCTTTACAAGGAAATTCTTTAAATGGCGTAGTTGCAGGAATTTTGATCAAACAAAATAGTTTATAAGGAAATATTACAGATAATTCAGTTAATAAGAAGATACTATGAATATAGATTTGAATATAAATAAGTAGAAAATGAGAAACGTTTTTGAGACCGTATCTTTTTGTTTGAGATTAAAATGAGTATCAAAAGCGGTACTTTATTGTCTGGTATCGATACGGTGTTAGTCCCATCGCTACCGACAGCCAAAGTCCGTGCTGGCCACGCGTGGTGCGCGAAAAAAACAGTTCTGATACATGCTGCACTTTCGAGCTGGCCGATACTATCGCGCGCATAGAAACAGCTCTACGCGCGTCCCTCCTCCTCTCTGTGCCCCTCGACACGAAAAATTCCTGGGCGTCACGCGACGTTGCTCTCCGATTCGCCTTTATTTTTCTTCGAATTTTTTATTCGCGCCGCTTTCGCGACAGATACCACAGAATCCGTTACAAAATTCGAGAAAACAGGTCCTCCTTCAATTACGAACAAACATTATTTTTCATTTCGTTTCATCTATTTTTAACGCAAATTTTCCTGTCGAACGTAAGTTCAAACTCACGGGACGCATGGAAAGGAAATAGGCGTACTAAATAACTGTTACCATTATTAAAAAAAAAAAAAAAAAGGAAGACTCAATCACAGAAAATCATTTACAAGAATAAATCGCAGTCATCATTGCCCATACTATATCGTTGCAAAGCTAATTAAGAACGTGACCATGGTTAATTTGTCGATATGTAAACTCCTTCTACAGTCAAGTTTAATTTTTGCCCACTTTTCCTCTTTTTCCCAATTTTATTTCAACCGTTAGATCGAGGTCGCGGGATCAATGGCGTAAAGGCAGTCGTGTTACGATAAACTGGCTGTTAATGGGACAGATCTCTTGTCGGGAACTCGTTCGCTAATTGAGTCACGCTGCTCGAACGGGATTTCTCCCAAATTCGCGGCCATAAGAAACGAAAGGCACGCATGCAGATTCGATTGGGGCATGTTGTACAAACTAGCGAGTGGAAAAGGTGGAGCGACGAGACATCGATACCTAGTCGATCGCCACGTCGATTTCACCGCTGAATGCTTCAGGAATAAATCCGTCGCTAAGACAGGCAAATTTTATTCGTGAATAACGAATAAAAATCTGATACATTTATAAACTAACTTTCGACGATCTCAAATCAAATTTACCGGGTCTGCAATTTGCCCACTCGAAAGTTCCACCTTTCTTTTATAACCTTGTTTCTGGAATAAAAATTTCTATGCGTTTTTCGTTAATTAATATAGTAAGTTAATTGAGATCAGAAATGAAAATATAAATACCAGAATAAAATTATTAAGAGTATTATAAATTCTAGTGTTCCAAAGAGGGTTTCATATATAGGTCGAAACGTTATCGAAAGAAAGACCTTTAGTAACTTTGTACTGAAAGTCCTAGAACTACATACTTTCTATTTGCTTTTGGAATTTTTTGATTGGAGTTAATGGCAATGGAGTTTCTGATTAAAGAAAAATGGGAGCGCCAAGTCGATGAAAATCAACATTCTCGAGCTATTTTCCAAAGTCCTTCTCTTACCTCGTTTTACGTCATTCTTACACGTTTTGGTAGCATGTGATTCCTACCATCCTGCTCCTAATCATTTCTGAAAATGATCTAATTATTCTACGAACGATTAAAAATGTTTGAAATCATTCAACTTCGACAACATAAAACAATGCATGCAACGAAAAAATAACTGGATCGAAGCGTGTCGTGCAGCGAGCATGTTGTATAAAGACACTCGTTTCGAACTTTTCAAATTCTCAATCGTCGTCTTCGAGGAAGTTTCTTGTTGATGGAGTTCGTTAATGAGCACAGGAAAGTTCTTTTCTTCTAGGTTTCCTGACAATTGTATCGGACGTGTTCTAATTGAACCGTACCACTTCGCTTCAATTATATGTACGAGGTTTTTCAGGAGGAATTGTTTCCTTCATCTTTTAATTCGCGCGGGATTTACGTGATTTAGATCTCCGACGACTTTCTCTTCGTTGCTTAATAGAATCTGAGAATTTTAATTAAAATATTCAGATGGCTGATCAGGTTGATAGTATTTAATTATAATAATGTAAATTTTCTTTCGCTCGCTCTGGATTATCAAACGAGATTTTCATTTCGCCTGAATGTATTACTCTGTATATTTATTATGATATGTATTTTATATTACCTATATGGTTCTCTTGAAACATGCAGAGATCTTGAAAAGAAAGAAAATTTAATTTAGTAAGATTCCACGCTAATTTTGTCTAATGGGCTTTGACGAGTTAATCCATCCGATGTTTAAACAAAAATTCGAGTCGAGTATATAGTTAGTAATATTATCTTTTGACTTTTAATGTATTCAAATTTTATTTTCGATAGTTACCTTTCCCTAGGATTAGATATTAGTGAATGTGAGATCCGATCACGTTCTGATCGAGATTGTGTAACTGTAAATTGCACGAGGAAAAAATTGATATCGCAGCTGATTATTACTGAAAATGAAACCTGTTCGAGAAACAGGGAATAACAGGAAACCGACAGATAGATTACGTGCTGTGAAACGTAACGGTGTCAATGTAACAAAGGTCGCCGAAGTCAGTATTCGAATTGAAGGTTATACTGAAAATTAATTAAAATTAATAAAAACAATTAGAAAATAAAAGAAACTTATAAAAAGAAAAACTGTTCGATTAATGATTTCGTTTTTGCATCATATTAGTTTTCTTTCTGACAAGAGCACGATATTTCTGGCTCACCAATGAATTCCCACAAAATAATTCTGAATTAATCATTGCGAATTAATTCTGACCTAGTTCTTCGAAATTAATTCTGAATTAATTCTTATTCATAAATTAAATCCGAAAGAAACAGATGAAAGTGGTGAATTGGCAATGACAAATTTGGTACGCGAATTGCATTGCAAAGTAATGCAATTGACAGTCAATTGTGGAAAATGTTAATCACTCCTGAATATTAATTCTTTAGTTACCGATTCGACGTACCGTTTGCGCCGCGTCATGAGAAACTGCAGACAGGTCTAAAAATGATAAATATTTCAAGTAGCCGACAAGAAAGGTGCAGAGTTGATCATTAGATAATATATTTGTACTCCCTGTATTACTTTCATCTCGCGAAACTAATTATTATTAAGCAATCAATCAAATATAATCGAGTCAGTTACACAGTAATTTGCGGATAATATCATGCTCGAAGATATGGAACTAATTTTAAGAATGTATTGCGGCATGATCGAGCGTTTCCTTTTAGTAAATAATGACAGTGCAGATCGCCCGACGCAATTTCAAATGTGACCTTTACTACGCGATCGTAACTTCATTGACGATATTATGTAATTACCTGGTTATCCCCTGTAATTAGACGCAGACGTTGTGAAATCTACCTTTTGTTATCGATAACTTCACATTCGTCTCAAATGCAATAACCAAACGACGACAGCATTAAAAAAAAGTTGTTGTTCAATATATTGAAAAGATAAAGGAGGAGGCACATCAAACGATAGATGCCAGCCACGGCACGTCTAAAGTCATCAAGCGATGCTAGAAGGTATGCATAAAATAGGTCGTTCCTGCTTTGATGCTCAACCGTGAACTCCAAGCCTTAGAAGCTTGCATTTAAAGATTGTGGACCTAGCCTAAAAAGCTCCAGCGTTTGGAAGCACGTTTTGAATAGCAACTCGAAGACTTGAAGACCATTTTAACAACACTGCTGTACAGTATACGACAGCGTTGGACACGACGATCTCTCCAACTCGCTAACTAGTGGCGCCACTAGTTCGTCAGCTCGCCGTGCGCTGAATGAGTCCCGGTGCCCCACAACCTAATCATACAGAAAACTTCCCAAGCATACCACCCCACTATATTAAGTGTTTGAACTTCGTGCTCGCGAGTCACTTCACAAGTTCGCCATTCAACTTCTCGTCCTTCAGCCAACGGAGATGTCAAGGTCCGCATCCTCCGAAAGCTCTCGATGCAATTTTTCGCCGCAGGGTCGTTAAGTTTCACTTGAAAGCGGTGGCTCGTCGGTCGTTACGTCCGACGACGATTCGTTTGAATCGGCGGTTAACAGGCTTGCAATTAAAGTTACTCGGTTATGAGTGGCGGCGAACGGTTCGTTTGCCTTCCACGGGCTGGCCGTGGTCGTCAAACCGCGGCCCGTTCTCTTCGTTTCCCTTTTATTCGAACGAGCTGCTCTTTATTCATGGCGGGTCGAGGGAACAGTGCGTACGTTACATGACCGGTGCCTGTCCAGCCGAGCGTAGACAGTGAAAGTACGTGATACGCGAAATCGTGGAATTGTGTACGTGAACGCGTGCGAAACGTGCTGCGCGGGATCGGCGATCGGAAAATTTTGACATTTAGAGGGGAACGTGACTTTGCTCTTTCGCTTGCCGCTTCTTAGCGCTTTCCGGTCTGCCGGTCTTTCTTTTCTAGCCTGACGAGCCGTTTAGGGAGGCTTCGCAGTTCTAGGAATCGATCATTTTGTTTGTAAATTTTTGAAAACTCAACGCTTGGGTAAAAGACTTTTGAAATTTTTATTGTTCGAAGAAAATATTTCAAGGAGTGAACGAACATATTTTCAGTCTCGATAGGTTTTTTTTTCTTATACGTAGAATGAGATGAAAGTGTAGTTCAATCGAGCCCAGTAGCTTTACCTTGAATTTTCACTGAAAGTGACCTGATCAATAAAAGGACCATTTACAGCTCGCCTATCTAAAGCAGTATTAAAGCAATTAAATTACAAGTACGTCGTTACTCCTAATAAAAATATTCCCCTCTTCGTCATTGCTAAAGTCTTAAAGAATGTGAACTTAACTTTCGAATTTCAAGAATCGTTTGCCGTTTCCAAATAATCTTCCTTTGGCGAACGCTTGTCATTGAATGGCCTGATGCTCCAATCGTTTCGATTTTTCGCGTAATTGGGCGAGGCGATTTTAGTGGACCAGACTACAAACGAAGGGCGCAGAAAACGCGATAATGAACAGGCCTGCATTATCTTCTTAGTTCCGAGCTGCGTGAAACAGCTTTCCTGAAACGTGACTAAAATTCAGACATTTAATTTATCAATGTTCCTAGCACATACACAATCGATTACATGGGAAAGTAATGTAGAAGTAGTTTTGATAACGCTCACGTCTTAATAGTCGCTGCGATAGTAAGTGATTTGTGTGGTATGAGTAAAAGCTTGTTCGCGATATGATGGAAGGTCTGGAAACGAAGAAAATGAATGAGTAATCTTGAAACGAATAAAATTCTTCCTGCTTTTGTACAAGTGATTATGTTGGTAAAACAGAGTCTTCTTGTCGATAAAACAGAATACACTGTTGTTAAAATAGAGCATGCTACCGGTAAAACAAATAACTCTGTCGATAATACAGCATCCTCTCTTAACGACAGAGTTCTCTGTTTTACCAACAACATACTCTGCTTTAACAACACAGCTCTGTTGCACCAACGATTCCTCATGTTTCCACTACAGGAACTAAGTGTTCGGAATAAAGTAGAGCTAAATTCGTAAACTGTATCGGCGTGCAACGACGTCCCACGGCTATCATAGAAATATTTCGAAATTGATAATTTGCATATCCCGTTCGTTAAAATTTTTGACCGTAAGCGTGTAACTCTCGTAACCAGCTGTATTCATTTCAGTCGTGCAGAGCCTCGCATATTTACACGAACGGCGCGTGGATTAATACGGGTGGCGTAATAGCCTTCTCTTTGATTGTATCTCGTAAACTGACCGTGGCTGCAGTTTACTTCATTACTTGGCTATCCACGACTTTAACCGCGGCATTTAACATTAACGGCCGATAATATCTCACGTTAATCGTCGGTGGTATGCGCAAAAAAGCGGTCCCACCTCTCTTTCGCTGGTTACGCGTAAACAGACTAAAGGAATTACCAGCTCCGCAAATTGCACCTCTTACAGTATCGAGTGTGTGCGATTTACGAGCCCGCGCCCTCTTCTTCTTTCGATCTGCAGCTAAGGTGTTATTACCATAACCTTTCGTCGTAACGATTTCATTTTTATCGAAACGGGGGGTGCGCACGGGTAAGATTCATGAGATGCGAGTCTGGTAGGGAGAGAAGCGTAAACAAATACTTGACGATGCGCACGATTCTTGGGTGTCTTGGCAATAAGATGCCTCGTAAGGATATGGGATGGATTTTAAGTTAATTCAAAGAAGATTTAAGTTAATTTAAAGAAAAAAAGAAACGAAATTGGGGAATTTTTTTTTAGTGTTTTAGATATTGAAAAATTCTGAGGTATATAAGTGAACAAATATCAAAATATTAAACCAAACGTTTGCCACCGTTCCTAGTTACACTGAATGTTAACGAAGTTTCACTGATTGGAAGGATCCTACTGCCGTAGGAATTAATCACAGAGCGAAGCAAAAATATTTTGTTCGTTCGATTATGAAAACGCCAAACCGAATGTTTTCATTAAATTTTTGCTCGTTCGCCGCGTTTGTTATTGCACGGAATTTCAACGAAATTACGATCATTTGGAGAGCCATTGCCGTATGAAATATCCGACAATTATCGACACCCCATTATTTTCCCTGCCACGACGGAACGACATCGAGACGAACGAGCCGTACTTTCTATAACGTCAAAGAGCGGGCTGCACGTGTTTTTAATTATTATTCCGCAGAAGTGGAGTTTTGACGCATGCAACTGGCGGCTTATCGGGCTCGGAAAGTTACGTATTAGGTGGAATAAATAATTATTAGCGCAACGCTTGATCTACGGCCTACAGGAGGTATCCTTTCTACGTCGCCTCGGCGCACCCTTCACTTCACACAATACTTTCTGTATTATACTTAATTTATAATTAAACTATCCGTATTATTACCGTCCGCAAGTCACGTTCACCGCGAGACCTCTAATCTCCAAATATTATTAATTTAAACACGAGCCATCGTGTTCTGGATTATATACACTAACTTTTATTAGTTTTCTGGTGTTGCCTGTACACGTTTGAAGAGATGTCTTTGATAAACCTTTAAGAGAATTACGTTTTGTATACGAAATTTGCATAAAACTTTTTCTCTATCTTCGTCGATAAAGAATTAATTAACCGAGTCTTCCAACATTTAAAACGATCTTCGTCGGAAGATCTTTTACGTGAACATTTCAGAAAAGAGGTGTCTCGCAACAATAATAGAAGTGTATGTACAGAAGTTTGAATTAAAACACTACGAATGCACTATAGACACCAATGGATACTTGTTATTCATAACTTTAACTACTTTTCGCATTCACGTGCTTCAAGACAGCTGTTTCAGATAATCGATATTGCACAATACACCTTTGCTTGTATGTGAATCGATGTGGAAACTGTTTTCTTCAGTTTCATGTGCCATAGGTGTAAACCGTATAAACAAAGAGAAAGTATACAGGAAAAACCACTTTTCTGGAATGAAAAACTCGTTTCATCTGATTTCCATCATGTCTGAGGCTCTGTTAATCTTTATTCGCAAACGAAAATTTCATTTTCATCAGAGGTGCATTATAAAGTTAAAGAATACTGTGGCTCTTGGCAAGCTTTATATAAAATTCACTGTATCCATACAAAATTTCTTACGTAGACTTACTTCTTCAATCCTACTGATCATCTTCAGCTGAAGTAAATATGTAATAAATATAATAAAATTTTTACTAAAAATGTATATAGCACCTGACGATGGTTAGATTGCAAAGCTTTGTCATAAAGAGAAAAACTCTAATTCGATGGAAATTTAAATTTTATTTTACCATGTGCCGTCCAACGATAAATCGTAATCTTGTGTTTCAGCATGGATCCTGGGGTGGTTCATGTGCAAAGCAGTCACTTATATACAGGGCGTTTCTGTGGCGGCCTCTGTCTACAGTCTTGTTGCGGTTTCCTTGGACAGGTATGTACACGTGCATTGAACTTTTCATAGAATGATTGCGCTGGCGTTTGCCGGCAATCACTCTACACAGTCGAAATCGTGCATTTTATCGACAACTAAGAGCACGAGCGATTACTATAGCCGTCATTGTTGCAAGTTCTCTGCGTTCTCCTTTCGATTTTTGCAGCTTCTACAAAAAGTAAACTTCGTTACCTTCTTGCATCATAGATCGAATTACGAACATCCGACATCATGCAAAATAGAATTGAAAAAAACATGGAGGATCACGCTTTTTAAAACGCCTCAGTCGCTGAGTTGATTAATTACAATTAATCACCTTATACATTTTAATTTTTGCAATCAACATATCCAATACCAATGTCTATCGGTATCGTGTACAAGAATTCTCATAAATAATAATAAATCGTGAGCAAATGGAACATTATTTCAAATTCTCTCTGATCGAAGCAATTCTTGTTTGACCCAATGAATCACCGTTAACAGTGACAGCACATCAGATTAACTACAAATAGTATAATTTACTCCGTCTATTAAAGTCAAGTCTCCAGATGACATCGCTAGATGAATATTTGCTTACACCTGTTCCTGCAGATTCATTAATCTCCTCAAGGATACTGGCGCGTTCGCGCGTGTAGGTTTACATTTTAAATTACCTCACGTATTGTAACACGAATGCAACTAATAACATTTTCACGCCTATTCGAAATAAACATTATAATAATACGTTATTATAAATATTATATCGTAATATAATATTATACTCCCAAATAGAGCTTTTTTATTAAACTACTTAAAGTAGAAATTGTCAAATAATTTTCTTTCAGACCTTCTTCTAAATTTTTCTTAAAAACTACACGAGTAATCCAACAGTGAGGTCGCGAGACGCCCTCAAGATTGAGCGTGTAGTCGTGACAAAGGTGATCCCTGTGTGAACACGATACGTGTATCAGTGTGGTCTCGTGTCAGTTTCAATGGACCAATTGTTACGCTACTTTACAGACGCAATATCCACGTCAAGCTTCCCACCGACACCTAATCACTCTTCCTTCGTGCTGCGGAATAATTAATAGACCCCCGTGCGCATGGGTACTGGTTGAGGTGACTCGTTATCGGGCCATGACTAAGCCCGCGCTCTCAGCGATACGAAAGCAAACCAAGAAACTGGACGAATGTGAGCTGCCTATTACGAAATCAATGACACGCTTGCGACACGTCGTCAACGCATATATTTCACATTGGCACATTTATTTCTCATCTGCATAGCGGTGTACTCCCAGCTGTAACAATTATGGGCCGCGTTACGAGCGGTTACGCGTCCATCGGCGTATTTCTGCGTTATTGTGACATTCTCGCCGCTCTTAATGGATGCCGTTAGCATCATAATAAGAGCAAGGTGAGCGTTGCATCGTCGAATCGATAGACAATCTCTTGGAAAACTTCGATCGTCGATCGAGAAAAGAAAAACTCAAGCGAACTGGTCACTTTTGAAGGAGTTCCAACGATACGAAAATAAATGGTAAACGTTTATTCCACGAGGAACGTATTGGAGTAGTCCCGTGACGATTTGACGGGGAGGTGTGCGAAAATTTGATGGCTGTTTTCAGTAATTGTTTTTTGTCTACGTGAAAGACGGTAGAAGTAAATTCAATACATTTCCATGTTTCTTAATTGTAATTCTACACCTTAGTCGACGGTTAATACTGTTTACTTGTAATATCAATACGAGTCACTGTATATACTCCAGTTTGTTGTCGATTTATGCATTCAGTCCATTCTGTATCGATGTACAGTCAGTCTCATAAATATTCGTATCCTCTATGACTATTAGAAAAGTTTGTCTAATTTCTATAATAGGTTCGATGTTTTCAAATAAATGTTTCATTATAAATATGTACATGGATAGACTTTATACTTGTATATATACAGGGTGTCCCAAAAGTCGGGGAGGAGCCGGAAATGGGGGTTAGCTGAGACGATTCTGAACAACAATTTCCTTTGCAAAAATGTCGGATGGGGCTTCGTTAAGGAGATATTAAGAGAAAACCCCGACCAATCAGAGCGCGCGTAGACCGTTCGAGCGGCCGCGGTAGCGAAGGCTTCGCGCTAGACGGCAGCGTCGATGTCCTTCGATGCACGTCGAGTCACTTGTTCGCGTACAAGCGCGGCGGCCAGCGCGTGACCTTCGCTACCGCGGCCGCTCCAACGGTCTACGCGCGCTCTGATTGGTCGGGGTTTTCGCTTAATATCTCCTTAACGAAGCCCCATCCGACATTTTTGCAAAGGAAATTGTTGTTCAGAATCGTCTCAGCTACCCTCCATTTCCGGCTCCTCCCCGACTTTTGGGACACCCTGTATATAATGAAAAATTTATTTAGAAACATCAGGCCTATCATTTAATATAGACAAATTCCTTCAATAAACACAGAGGCTACGAATATTTATAAGGCTGACTGTACAGACCAGTATACCAGAATCTATATAAAGGACTTCCTTCGAGATTCAACTTTTTTGAAGACAGCATCGCAACACTTCTGAGGGTGATTTTACCCCTAAAACATACGCATAATGTGCGACGTCTCAGCGGACCCGGAAAGTTTCATGAAAATCCCCGCGGAGGGGGAATGTTTCTCGTCAGTGGCTCCCTGCCAATAGGATGGGGACGTACAAAAGGATCGAGTGTCCTTTGAAATTCTTTTTTCAGCTCTCGAAGCCACCTTTTTATGTCTCGAAAAAACTTTGGCATCGTCTGCAAGTCCTGGCGTCGTTCGTGCGCTATGGCGACGGCCGTGGCGTCTCCCTCCTCGAAAGCCAACAAGGTCGTCCCCGTCGTCCCTTTGAAACACCGAAATCAGCAGACCAAGTTTCGCCAAAAGAGTTCTCCAGACAAAGCTCGGCGGGTTTCCGAAACGAGTTATTTATTCTTCCGCTTCGGTTCGCGCAATATTGTCTCTCCGTGTCGCAATAAAATTGATGCGCCACAAAAATCCATGCTGATAACCCTGTCAGAGCATCGCGTTTCTTTTTCGCAGGATGACACAAGGTCGGAACTGCTCCTTGGACATTTTCAGCCCAGTTGCAGGCAGTGCTCACGGAATTTACAAAATCCCCCTCTTTGGGGATGATTTCATCTACTTTTTTCTCTTTTTTAATTGCTTTATTCAAGGTCACGTCAAGTACGAGGTTATTAGTGATCACGTCAATGATTACAATTTCATTGTAATTTAACATGTTATATTTCATTGATATCTTGACTATTTTAAAGTTCAAACTCTATTCGATCGTGTTCTCTATTCCCTGACATTCTTCAATTAAATGTTTTACTGCAAAAGGACTCGTCACAAAAGTTGCATAGTGCTGGCTGTGATTTAGTTATTTTGTAGCATTATTTTTTTATTCTTTATTCATTGTACTTTGAATTATTTTCACCTCGCGTTGGGTTGCCTAGCAGACACTGATACTTCTCTTTTAACGTCTTTCTGTGTGCCTCCTCGAGAGGTGATGCTTACATCCCACTTTCACGAAAATTTCAAGTTCTGCCAACTATCTTTCTATTAAGTTTAGTAAATTAAAAATTACAATAACGATCAAATCAGACTGTGGGTGGTCTGCCAAACAGATTGGGTCCATTGTAAGCTAGAGCTCGAAGAAGACTGACCCGTGTCTCTTCGTATGAAGGTCTTCGTGGTGTCAACGTTGTTTCCAAGATGGTGCGATAGATTATTCTCGCGGAGACGCCAGGTGCCACGGATGGAATTACTCGGAAGCGGGTAATACGGCTGGATATCGTCGACAAATGATTTCCTGTCAATTTCACGTTAGAGAGGCCACGCCGCTGTCGCCGGTCTGTGAAATAGTTTTATAGGATCCTCGGAAGCGTTCGATCTCGCTGAAATTGCCTGGCGAAGGAAATCGTCGGTGACTCGGAATTGTCTTACCCTCTGATCAACGCCTGGCCAGCGATGCATTACCCTCCCGCCGCCATTTTCTCTGGGCTGCGAATTGCCATCCACATACATCTTTTCCGGTGGTCCCGTCTTGGCACGAGACAGCTTTACCCAGAGTAACTCCGCTGACGTAAATCCGCCAGAGGTTTACGAGTTTCCTGGGTTCATAGCACTCTTAGTGCTTCCGCAATTATTAACTCCACTGTTTGAAAAGTCTTAAATTTAAGTTGCAAAGCACTTGGAACAGTCATAACTTTTCACATTTCATCGCATTTCTCAACTTTTTATTTTATAAAGTTGATCAATTTGTGCAATGAACGGCTCGGTATGTACTTTCATGGTGGCCTCGATACGGTTCTTAAAAATATTTTTAATCGCAGTTAGGGATGGGTTAATATCTGATCAATATATCCGCAACTCTCTTAGACCAAAAGAGATTGAAATGAGCTCGATTCTGTTTATCAGCATCCAAGAAGCTAATTATAATTGCCACCAGAAATAGAAAGTTAAACTGACGATAGATTGTGTCACTTATCGTTTCAGCTTCCGCAACGCGTAAATACGTATTTGACAGGGGAATAAATTTCCCGTCTCGAAAAGTTCACTATCGAAACGTACCGAGAGCACACGTTCGATGAATAATCGTGACACGTATCTGGATTTAATACCGATAAGCGCGCGAGAAGTCCGCGTTTATTTTTATCAATCAATTTTGGAGCGATACGATCGGCGTTAGTGGTCGACTGTTGCACGTCAGCCCACATTCCGCACCACCGAAAGACGTGGCCAGGACTTCCGTGAGGTTGTGATACGACACCCTGGTCGCACTTGTTACACGTCTCGTCGTTTCGCCGCGATTGTGATTCGCGTTACGACATCGTGCTTCCTAATATGGCGTAATCCGGGAAGGAACGCGACCAAAGATGAAGAATGCGGTCTGTGTTACATGGGCTGGTAAGTTGGATCATATCGCGTTGCCGAAGGAGTCTGATTTTGCCGAGTCATTCAATATTTCATATGGATATATGAGATTAATTGTAGATGTTGCTGTGTCGGGACTATTAGTGTGCTGATATTTGTCAGCAGATACTAAAAATGGAGTTACTGCTTTTAGATTACATTTCTATCTCTGCATTCATCGTACTTAACCTCTGTTTTAACTAAATTTCCTAATTTTTTATGATAGAACCGAGCTTCAGGCCAACAAAAAGCCACCATAGGTGGAAAGTGTCCGAAGGAAGAAGGGGAATCGTCACCCAGTACTGTCCAAGTGAAATCATTCCCTATCTGTATCAGAGATCGGTCGAGGAACGAATATTTCGTGAAAAATGCAAATGTCTGTAACAGCAGTGGAGAGAAAGTATCATTGAGTTGAGTTATTGCACTTTATTCTAATGCATAAAAATGCTTATTGAACTTTTTACAACACACTTGGTGAAATAAAGGGCGTCGAGGGAAATGGGCTTGAAAATTTACGAGCATCCAGTTTTGCAAAAAATGAAAAATGGCTACCCGTAAAATGAATAAGTATGTGATTTCTTCTTTCGCAATCGGAGCGTGAAACCGAATAGAATATCCAATAATGAAAAGGAAAATTTTTTAGGCAAACGAAATGCGTTGGTTGGGTAGCTCATTTATTTATTTGTTCCATTCAACGTCACTGTTCATCGAAATAAACGTAATTCAGAAGAAAGCGAAATAAAAACATTGATAACATTGAGGCAAAAGGTATAAGATATAAGTCACAATTGTCATGACACGGCGAAAGTGCGATGATCGGATTATGTAATTCGAATAATAATAATACAGCCACGCACTATTCTAGATCAAGTGACTCACTCCGTACTCACTGG